CATTTAAGAATATGCTTGACCTAGGGCGCCTGGGTGGCTCAGTTGGTTAAGCGACTGCCTTCGGCTCAGGTCATGATCCTGGAGTCCCGGGATCGAGTCCCACATCGGGCTCCCTGCTCGGCAGGGAGTCTGCTTCTCCCTCTGACCCTCCTCCCTCTCATGCTCTCTCTATCTCATTCTCTCTCTCTCAAATAAATAAATAAAATCTTAAAAAAAAAAAAGAATATGCTTGACCTATAAGACTGATAACTCTCAGACTGTTTATTCTATGTTTATTGTGGGATGCGCTTATAGATTGTACTTGAGCCAATTCACTACATGAGAAGGATTTCTGTGAGAAATCCTCTTATTTGACCTGTTACTTGGGTCTCAAGCCAACTCATAAACAAAAATCTCCAACAGGAGAGTCTTAGGCAGGAACTTCATTCTGAAATGGGGTAGACAGCTGTCACCACACATCATGACACTACTTAAGAAAATTGGTCTAGAGCTTAACCTGTCTTTTAGTCACTAGGTTCCAAATAAGCTCTTTTGTTACTATAATTGTTATGGCTTAATAAATCCCTTGTCAAAAGCTATGACCAAAGTGAACAGAAATATTTAAGCCCAAAAAGTTTAAGGAAATTGAATCATGATTGAAGCTCAACTACTGTTTTTCAAATTCTAAGGACTATTAGCATATGCCAACATTTCAAAATAGAGGTATAAGTCTTAGGAGTCACCAAAAAAACAAAAAACAAAAAAAACCCTTCACCTTTTTTGGCACATACCTTGTAAGACCTCATTTCAAATGTCAGGGCCTTAAAATAAAAGACTCGAATTTAAGGTAGTATTGCAATTCCTTTTTAGTAATGTAACCAGGGAATTCTTCTATGTACTCCGCATCTTATTTTGGCTCCCACAGATTAATCCTGCAAGACTTTGAAATGACTATATTCTGTGAAGTATTCAGCAACAGTATCACCAGTGTCCACCTCAAGACATGTGTAATGACCACATTTTGATTCTTAGCTCTCAAGCCCCAGTTACACAGAGTGTTATAATCAGAAATGTATCAGAGATACCCAGTGTAATACCACTGGTTTCAATTAGTTGCATGTACATTACATAAATTGTGGCCTATAGCCAATTGACAGATTAGAAAGCAATGAAGGTAAGAGTAGCTGGAGTTGAACACAAACACACACACCCTGAAAATATGGCATCTTCCAAAAAAAGAAAAATTTTTTAAAGATTAAAACATCAGTGAAAGTGATCTGGAGCCACCCAAGTCCTGAAATGGTTTGTGGTTTTGGCAGTTTTTTTCTTAATTGGCCACCAACTCTTCACTGAGGTCTCCTTTCCTAGTTAAATGCTGAACTTTAGGAATGATGTAACTACAGCCTTCATTGCCCGTGGAGACAAAAGGACCAGGACTGTAAACCTAGGCTGACAAGTGACTACCCCAGACAAACTGAAAAAATCTGGTCCAGCTGTTTTGCAAATGTTTGACACTGGCTGGCTCTGAGATTAAAAATATGACTTTCTGCTCCCACAAAGTTTAAGTAAAAAAAAAAATGGCTTTTTTTTTTTTTTTTTTTTTTAAAGAGCATCAGAAGGCTTTCATACTCTGTATACATTTACTATAAAAGCTGAATCAAGCACACCGTGAGGGGGAAAATTGACTCCAACTGATAGCCGGTTTAAAAAAAAATAGGCAAACCAAACCATCTGAAAATAGGGTTTATCATGGAAACAGCAAGCTAATGGGACCATATTCTGGGTACCTTTATGGTTTTCCAGGAAAGTCTTGTTTTGCCACTAGTATGATAAAAAACAAAAGAATACACTGGCTTTCTCTATGCTATACAATTTTAAATAAGTTGTTTCCTAAAAACAAAGCCTGATGATGACCTAAAAATGTCTCTTAAGGCTATTTAAATCCAGCATTATAAAACCTTCCTGCATCAAATTTATAGTTACATCATTATAAGGACACCCACAATAAGAATGCCTTATATTTATTTCTTGCATTGAGATTGATAATCTTAAATTTTTTTCCCCCAGAAATTATCTGATTGAAATACCTAAAGAGGAGACATGTTCTAATTTGGCCTAAAAATTGTTTTTTTTAAATGTCTACACAATAAAACCTTCTCAGATATCTACTACAGTAGATTGAAACAAAGAAAAAAGACCATAAAATTGCATCTTGCTACTTAAAGTTGAATGCTGTATTTTCAATTAGATTTAATTTTTTCATTTGCCTTAAAATAAATAATGATGACTTAAAAGACAATTAATTGTGTTATAACCACAAAAGTAACTCGATTGTATCAATGGTCTTCATTTTAGTTCCTTGTCATTTTATCACAAAATATTTTCATGGGAAGATTTAATATATTTTTAGTCTGTAAAGGAATAAGAGACTTGTTTTCCAAAGGTATTTGAGGTTTTTCATCTGGCATTTTCCATTTCTCATAACCTTATTTCCATATTGTAAAATATGTAAGTAACCTTTGTACCTCTATTTTATAAAAATTGTGTGTATATACTTATGTATGTGTATCTATAGATAGATACATATGTATCTATCTATAGATACACACTATATATATATATATATATATATATATAAATTCTGACTAAGAGTAGACCAACTAGATAATTTCTCTGGAAAAGGTTCCTTGAACAATATAAAAATGGGTTCTTCCGAAGCAAACAACAAAAACAACCTTATACGCCCAACTACTGTTTAAAATGCTAATAAACACACAATCAGTTAACCATTTATTGATTACCTATTTATGGTTTTGGAATATCCAAGATTATAAAAGACAGTACCTCAAAAAAATCGTGACCAAGGTGGTGCCTGATGATTTAAATAAACCTCCATATTATAAAAAGTCATGTAAATTTACCCCTTGAAAGGAAAAAAAAAAAGGTTTAATATTAAAATTAGAGTTCTCTTTTTAATTATCCTCTTTGAGTAAAGAAATAATTTGGAGGGGCACCTGGGTGGCTCAGTCGTTAAGCATCTGCCTTCGGCTCAGGTCATGATCCCAGGGTCCTGGGATCGAGCCCCGCATCGGGCTCCCTGCTCGGCGGGAAGCCCGCTTCTCCCTCTCCCACTCCCCCTGCTTCTGTTCTCTCTCTCACTGTGTCTCTCTCACACAAATAAATAAATAAAATCTTAAAAAAAAAAAAAAGAAAATTTGGAAACTTCTATTTTATATTGCTACTGTCATGAAAGCAGATGTTGTCTAGGAACTTGGCAATGTCAGTCGCAACACCGCAAGACACTTCTTTTAAGGGCTAGTGTGAATGTGTAAGGACAGACTTTTTCATTGAATTCCTGAATTTATATACTTTGGGGTTGGCTATGAGACACTATAAAATGCAAAGATAGTTCAGACAGCTCCAGCTCTATTTTTCAGGCACAAAAAACATATAATTTTGTACAAAACTTTGATTTATTTGTGAAATTAAAAATATGGTATTTTATATATATATATATATATAAACTTCTATTCCTCTATAAATATAGATGATTTTGTGATAGTGAACAGAATAAATGCATACCAAATCCAAAGACCATTGTCATTTTAGGGTATGACAGACATAGATAAATTTAGGTCCTAAGTACTGGCATTTTGATAAACTCTTAAAATTTAAAACAATACAACCAGAAGGACTGCTTTCCTCCTCTCTTTCACAGAGAACTAAAGTGAATATTTTTAAATGGCTTTGAAAGATTTACATTTGACACATTTCTGTAAATCCAAAAAGGAGCACACAGGATTCAATGCGGGAGAACTGCACACACTTTCCCTTTACCATGCATGCCCATATTTTGTTTGTTTCAGGAGCTAACCCCACCAATTATTCCACCTTCTTTACCTCCTGGCATCTTACAAGGTTATTTTTAGTGATGTGGATTGTTCCTCCCTCAAATGTGTTGCTGAATAATCATCATCATAACATGTTGAAAGTGTACAACTTTTACATTGTAAAGTTTCTGATATATGTCTAATTATTATTTGGTTAAAAAGAAGAAAGGAGCACTTCATTTGGAGGAAGTCCATTACACCGAAATCTCCTTCAAGTTTTCCTATTCAGCGTAGGTCCTGCTATCCTGTTAAGGAAAGCAGAGATCAACTCCTTAACAAAGCTTTCCAGGTGACCTAATGTTTCCATTTTATAGAAAGGTAAAATCTAAATGCGGGCTCTCAGTCCTAGAGGCAGTTTTCCAGGCATCAGTATGCAATTAGAATTAACATTTTACAAACCCCATCTTCAGTCTCTCCCAACCCACACAAAGCTTCCTGCCTCTTCCCAAATCTCAGCAACCACATCTTTCCATGACGTGGGCCAAACCCATACCAGGTTTTAGACACCAGAGAATGAAATGAGCTCATCCACCAAAAATTAGACATGAAAAAGTTTGGCACTGGTTATCCCACTCACCCTCTAACCAACTTAGGTGGAAGGAGGGAGTGCCTGGGCATTGGGAGGCCAGTGTGGAGGGAGGCTGGGACTGCCACAGCCCATATCCAGGAGGCCTCCTCGAAGCTATGGGGCTCTGGACGGTGAAAAATTCAGTTTCGGATAGTCAAAGGGACAAGGCCTTCACAATCTGCCCCCCTCCCCCACAAGGAAACACCTGGGATGGGCAGAGGCCTCCGCCCCCACCCCACCCCCCCGCCCCCGATTTGGAAGCTCCGTGGAGTTCTGTATCTAAAGAGACCTGACCCCAAGCACTGAAGGGAAAGGGGGGGAGTAGAAAGAGGAGGCGGCAAGTGACCCGGGCCGCTCAGCCCCAGACGCACCCGGACCGCCGCAGGGAGGGGCGCGCCAGAACAAGCGAGAGCACCGCGAGCTCCCGTTTTACCTCTGCAGTACTTTGAAAAGGGAAAGAAGGAAAGAAAAGCCTCAAATGGTTAAACGGCCGTAAATAATTAAAATTTAAACAAAACCAAAAGAAAGGGGGGGGGAAGAAAAAGAAAAACGCGTGATCGGTCGTCATTTAAATACAAATATACTTACAAAAATCTTACACAGGCTATTTACAATCATAAAAGCGTACAGTCCTGGTACCAGAGTGTGAGAACGAGAGGTCTGTCTATCCCCCCTGCTGTAGTCGGGCCCTCCAGTCCGTTTGCCCCCAGGGACGGAAGCTTTTGCAGGAGCTGTGCTGTTAAAAAGGAGCCTGCGAAAAGTGAACGGCTAGTGAGGAAGCCTCAAGTAGCCAGGTTTGGCAAGGCTTCCACGGGGCCGGCTTTATGGGGATGGCTGGGACGAAGCCGACCGCTGGGAATGGGCTGAGCCCCCGGGTCTCAGACGGTGGTCTCTCCCTGTTTGCTGTTGGTGAGCCTGGTATAGAACTTCCTCCAGGAGTTGAGGGTCTTGCCGGACCAGATCCAGAAGCCTGACGTGATGCCCACGATCAGCGTCATAAGGTACTTGATCATGAAGACTGTGAAGTCTGGGCTCATGGGCGGGTGCGGCGGAGCGCCTCCACCCGCCTGGAGGTGGGGGCAGGGGATGGCATAGCTCTTGCAGCTCTGGGCCACCCAGCTGCGCTCCCACTGGTCCCGGAAGGCCTGCTCGTAGAAGTAGCAGGCGATGACGATAGTGGCTGGCACCGTGTAAAGCACGCTGAAGACGCCGATGCGCACCATGAGCTTCTCCAGCTTCTCGGTCTTGGTGCCGTCGTGCTTCATGATGGTGCGAATGCGGAAGAGGGACACGAAGCCGGCCAGCAGGAAAGACGTGCCGATGAACAGGTACACGAAGAGTGGCGCCAGCACGAAGCCGCGCAGCGCGTCCACATTGTTGAGCCCCACGAAGCACACCCCGCTCAGCACGTCGCCATCCACCTGGCCCAGCGCCAGGATGGTGATGGTCTTGATGGCCGGCACGGCCCAGGCGGCCAGGTGAAAATACTGCGAGTTAGCCTCGATGGCTTCGTGACCCCACTTCATGCCCGCTGCCAGGAACCAGGTGAGCGACAGAATTACCCACCAGATGGAGCTGGCCATGCTAAAGAAGTAGAGCATCATGAAAAGGATGGTACAGCCCTCCTTCTTGGTGCCCTGCGCCACTGTGCGCGCCCCATCCTCGGAGAACTTGTCGTTACACACCACTCGGTCCTCCAGCAGGAAGCCGGCGATGTAGGCCACGGCCACTGCCGTGTAGCAGCCCGACAGGAAGATGATGGGCCGTTCCGGATAGCTGAAGCGCCGCATGTCCACCAGGTACGTGAGCACCGTGAAGAGCGTGGAGGCGCAGCACAGCACTGACCAGATGCCGATCCAGGTGCGCGAGAAGCGCAGCTCTTCGGGCCCAAAGTACATGAGCCCGTACACCTTCGTCGGCTCACAGGGCGCACCGCAGTCTTTCTCGCCCAGGAAGTGGTAGTTGAGGTAGGAGGGCACCTTGAGGGCGCGCGGGCACGAGAACTTGCCTCGCTCCGACGCGCCGGCGCCCCCCGGAAAGCCTCCGCCACGGTGCCCCCCGCCGCCGTGCTGAGGGTTGCTGGTCCAGAACTCCGGCAGCAACGAGGGCGTCGGGGTGCCCTTGTCCGACGTGTTCTGGCCCACGCACAGCTCGCCGGCGCCGTGCACCGGGAACTTCTCGCACTTGAGCGTGTCAGGCCACTGGAAGCCGAACTTGTTCATGAGCGCCTCGCAGCCCTGGCGCGCGCGCTCACACAGGGAGCGGCAGGGCGGCAGAGCCTGCTCCAGCACGGTGCACACGGGCGCGTACATGGAGCACAGGAAGAATTTGAGTTCCGCCGAGCACTGCACCTTCACCAAGGGGTAGAACTGGTGCACCTCGAGGCCCGCATCCTCTTGGTTCGTGTGGCCCAAAAGGTTGGGCATGATGGTCTGGTTGTAGGCAATGTCCGTGCACAGTGGTATGGAGATGGGCTGGCAGTAGCCGTGGTCCGGGATGGAGATGCCCCTCTCGCCGTTGTACTGTTGCCCGCTCTGCTGCTGCTGAGGCGGCGGCGGGGGCTGCTGCCCCGGACCGGGCCCCTGGCCCACCGCCTGCCCCCGGACCCCCAGCAGCAGCGGAGCCTCCAGGAGCCAAAGCAGTAGCAGGAGCCGGCGCGCCAAACGTCCAGAATCAGCTGGGGGGCGGCGGCGGCTGCCCGCGTCCCCGCTCCCCTCCGCCACCCGTCCAGCCGGGAGCGCCCCGGCATAAAGTTCCCAGCTCGCGCGGCCGCCGGCGGCCCGGGACTTCTTAGGCGCCTCCTCCTCAGCCATACTTTCTCGGCTCCTTTCTTGGCGCCGCCCGGCTGGGGCTGGCAGTGGCGCAGCCGGCGGCGGCTCCCCCTGCGGCCGGGGAGATCTCCTCCGCGCCGGTGCCCTCCGTCGAGGCCAAGCCGCGCTCAGCCCGCTCCCCCGGCTCCCGCTCCGCGTCCCGCAGCCGCCGCCGCCGCGGAAACTTGCGATTCATGAAGCGTGGGCGGCGGGGAGAGCCCGGGTGGCTCCGGCGCGCCGGGGTCGCGTCCCGCCTTCCTGGCCCTTCGCTCGCTGGTTCCCGGCTGGCGGCGCAGCGCTAGTGGCCGCGGCGCCGTAGAGCGTGCAACTCTCCGCAGCCCAGCGGCCTCGACTCCCCCCTGCGCCTCCGCCTCCTTCTCCGCCGCCGCCGCCTGACCATTTGTGTCAATCCCTCAACTCCCTCGCTCTCCTCTCTCGCGCGCGCCCTCGGACCGGTTTCCAGGCGCCCCGCAGTCTGTCTTTCACCAGGAGGGAGGAGCCTTGAAACCGACGCGGAACTGGAGGTTCAGGGACCGTCGCCCAATCGCGGCACTGGCTTCCCGGCGCAAAGGGCGCCCGCTGCCTGCCTCCTTGAGCGAAAGTCGGCGGCGGGCGGGAGGAGAAGGGGGCGGGAGGAGGAGGAGGTAGTAGTGGTGGCCGCGGCACCGCTCAGGCACAAAGAGTGGGTTTGCTATGAAGCGGGACAGGCTTGGTTGCCTTTCCTTTTGCGGAAGAAAGGGCGAGGACTAGTGGGAGAATGGTCCCATATGCTGTTGGAGATAATGAATAGGAGTCGGCGGACCCCGGGACTTAGCTTTTCTTTTCTTTTATCCATTTTCATGTTTAAAAATCCTGCTCTTAACGCTGGTTACAAACAACAAACCGAGCGCAGCGATCAGAACAGATGCCTTTGACTTAAGGAGCGCACGGCTTCCTTTGAGTTTCTGTCTGTCGAGGTTTTGTTTAAAATATTACTCTAATAAGTCCTAGAGCTCTCAGCCTGGGCTTGGCGGGCTTTGGACGCGCCATTTCCCCAAGGAGGAGTTCATGGGATCGCTGTCAAATGAAGAACAACAACAAAACACAAACACAAACTTTGACGGAATTGAAAAAAGTAAGACCAGATGCGCCGTCCGCTACTATTATCCTTCTAGTAGTCCTTTTTCTCCTCTTTAATCAAGTCAGAAACAGAAGCAAAGGGAGGATGTCTATTAGACATTTAGAGAGAAAATCTTGAGAACCCGACGACATTTCTTCGGCAGCGTCCTCGCTGCCCGGGACCGCAGAAGTGCCTCGGACCGGAGCAGAAGCATCGCTGGCGAACAGCCTGGGCTGTTGGGGAGCTATTAGGAGCCTTCCAAAACCCGGGGACGCCCATGGCGCAAGGGCCACTCCTGGGAGTGTCAGACCTGGGCCAGTTAGGAGCCACAGGCTGGGCTGCTGCGTGGTGGTCTTCCACCGGTGTGCGGAGCTGGGGATGCCAGTTTAACAAACAATACATTGAAGTCTGAAAGCAAAAGAGCTAACTGCACATTCCCTTCCTAATTCTAAACAACACAATCCATCTCAACCTGTTTACATTCTTCTTGTTTTCTGCCTACGTTTTTTTTTTTTTTAATGATGCTTTAACGAGGTGACTCAGTTTTATCAATAAAGTGCCATTGTATTATTAATTCCACCTAGGATTTGTTGGCCTCTGATTAGACTCTCGGGATACTTTTCTACAGTTATTTTCTATCTTTTGTTTATCTGTTCATTTGTTTAATACACACTTAGGAAGCACCTCTTATGCTATAAGCGATATTAGGTAGTAGAATACAAAGATGTGTAAGACATGGCTCAGCCTTACAGGAGGGCAAAGTGCAGTGGGGCATAGAAAGGTAGATCAGTTAGCCTGTTGTCCATCTCAAAGCTGAATGAGCTCAGCGAGGCAGCCAGCCAGTGGAAATGGGTGAGAAGTGTTCTGATAGAGAGGTGGGTGGAAGGTGCAAAAGACAGAAGCTCTGAAGTACTTAAATTGCTGAAGGGAGTGGGGGTGAGGAGTGACTGTGGCTGAGATATCATAAGGAAGGCAGGAGAAAGTTTTAGTCCATACTAAAAAGTTTGGGCTGAACAGTATACAGACAATAGGGAGCTTTTGAAGGGTCACTTTCTCCCACATACACAGGGTGGGGGTTCAGAATGGCTGTGAAAGATGGAACCTAGGGCACACTGTCACGTGGGAACCTTGAACATTAGTCTAGACCTAAAGGTCACCACTTGAGATGGGTGGTACTTGTACTACATACTAACAGGGCACTGTGAATTTCATCACCAAGCATGTTGGTGTCTCTCAAGAATGTGTAGTCGTATCTTTACCCGTTAAACCAAAATGACATCTGTTTGTCTCAGATACATATATTATTGTTTTTCAAACAGTCATGGATGTAGTAAATTCATAAAATATATATTTGTTTTAAAGTACTTCTGGGTTCCTAATATTTTTTTAAAAGAAAATGCAACAGGTACTAAATGTACAACAGGTATCATATGTGAGTGTGTGTGTGTATTGACAATAATTCATGAAAAATTTTGTTATTGAAAAGAAGGTGCTCTCTGAGGTCCTTTGAGCACTCATAGTCCATAATTGTTCATTTTACCTTTCAGCATCTTGGCCTACCAGTTTTCCAGGGACACTTTTTCTCTAGCCTTCTGTCCTGATGTTCATTCTTCTGCTGATAGCATACCACACTTAGAAACTTTACCAAGAAACTTTACCAACATCTTCCTTCTACCATTCCTGTCTTGTAAAGACCTACCTATCTTGTGTTCCATTCCCTCAAGGTCATTCTTGGTGACTTGGCTGGGTGAAAAGTGAATTTATTCTAACGTGTTAGTTACCAAGAAGCATCACATGCATTAAGCATCCACCAACACCACTGCTCCAAACCCTCTTCTCCCCCACAGGATGGGGCACAGGGAATAAGGCAGTGTTCCGTTCTGTTCCTCAGAGTAGGTGACACTCTCCTGCTTCAGAAGTTGTTCCATTGAAATTCTTGAGCTTATTTTACCTTCCACTGGACAGTGAAGTTTACTAGGGAGGAGGCTCAGAAATGCTATTAGAATTAAAAAAGGAAGAGAGAGGGGCGCCTGGGTGGCTCAGTCGTTAAGCGTCTGCCTTTGGCTCAGGTCATGATCCCAGGGTCCTCGGATCGAGCCCCCGCATTGGGCTCCCCGCTCGGCGGGAAGCCTGCTTCTCCCTCTCCCACTCCCCCTGCTTGTGTTCCTGCTCTCGCTATCTCTCTGTGAAATAAATAAATAAAATCTTTAAAAAAAAGAAAGAGAGAGAGAGAAGAAAAAAAGTATTTTTTGCCAGATCATGGAACTGGAAGAAACTAAAGATATCACCTAGGAACTACCTGATTTTCTCCTGTTTATAATGAAAAATACTAGACCCAGAAATGTTAAGGGACGAACTTCAAGTAACTGGCCTTGTTTGGTTTGAATTTCATTAGATGCTTATTTTAGCCCTTTCTATGTTCTTCTCAGTAGTTATCATTCTTTTAATTTTTTAAAAAAGTCAGTTTTTTGCAGTTCTCTCTCAGCAGATTGTGTAAAAAAAAAAACCTTATAAAACCAAAAAAGAAATCTTTTCCTGAGAGTTGTCTTCCAAAGTAAAAAAACCCTAGATTTTCTATTTATTTTACACCAATCCAGTATTTCATCTATTAAACCTTTGTGTTATAGAGGAAGCTATTAAAATCAAGAACAGTTCAGAGTTGGAACTAATGACAATTAGTGTTATGGAAAGTCTTTTGGGGAGGTAATGCAGGCTATGGATAACAAAATGTTAGAAGAGAAATATGAGCAGCCTATTTTTACTTTAATCTAAAATATATTATTTTCTCAGGATGTGGAAAGGTTTGAGATCCACATATAAAAAATGACTAAATAAGTATGAACTATTATGAACTTTGTAATAAAAATATTTCAATTAGGCAAGAACTATAAACATAACCCAGTTCCTCCTTGATATTGGTTCTTCAAGCTTCAGACTCTGTCAAGTCTTCTTATATCAAAGATCTTGTTTTATCAGGCCTTTCCCAAATCTTCTGAAGTTTCTTCAGACTGCTTATGTCAGGCTGAATGTGGATAATTACCAGGGCTAGAGATCCAGTTCCAATTACATACACTTGAGTGCACATGGACACGCAAGCAGTTAGATGAATACTCCACATGCAACCTGGCGGACCTTGAACTTTTAGGTGAGTTGTTTTGTTGCTGGCTTGTGGGTGGCAGGCTTGAAGTATCTTTATTGAATAACAGATATAACACGGGGTAAGGCTATATTTTTGAGCATCAATCATATGTATCTGGCATTGTTTTTCTTAATGTACACTACATTTTGTCACTTAAATTTTACCACTCTTTGAAGTAAGGTACTAATTATTATCTTCTTTTAATAGATGAAGAGTCTAATGCTCAAAGTAGTTAAGCAACATGTCTAAGGGTCTATAGCCAGTAAGTACCAGAGTAGGCCTTGTGTCTGACCAAAGTCTATGGGCTTCCATTGAGTAACAGAATATGAATACGTCTACTCCTAAAAATTATAGAAGAAAATGTGGTTTCTGAGATGTGCAGATCACGGTAATTCCTCAGTATTTAACATAGTTTTCAATGCCAGGATAATAGGGATATCACCGCTGGGACCCAGAATGTAAATATTTTGCTTGACATTCGTGCTCTGTGGAATGCAGTTTGAGAAATGCTGGGTTGGACCTAATATAGTTTGAAACTGTAAGACATAATATAGTTTGAAACTCTAAGATTGGACTCTCACCTCTGTATCTCACCTGTCAGGAGTTCACTCTTTTCTTTGAATTCCTAGTTAAGTGATATTGATTGATTAGGGAGATGATAGTGATAGAGAAAACTCAGACTATGCTATTCCCTCCTACCTGGGAGGCATCACCTAGGAGTCTATCATACTGCCTTTGCAGAGACACTGGAGGTTAGAGATGCTGCCTGAGCTTTCACACTAGATCTCTACCTTATTCCTTCTTGAATTTCCAAACCAGGAATTTCTGCATAAGCTAATACTTGTCTTCCCAAACATCTGTATTCTTTTGCAACAATTCTAAAACTAAGTGTCTTTTCTTTGTTCCTTTTTTCCTTCATTCTTACGCAAATCTGTACTTGACATTGGTGGGATAGTTTTTGGATTCATTTATACACAGAGCCTCAATTTAGAAACTCTCTTTGAAAGGTCCATCTTTTTAAAAAATTTATATTGCTTTTCCTAAAACAACTTATCAAAAGAGACAATAAGTTTGATTATCTTGACTTTTATCTTACAGGGCACTTATTGCTGACTCATAGTAAGATCCTAAACTGACTTGTCTTTTGAGAGTCAGCTATAATTTGCTAGAATGTACATTTTGAACATGGTAAGACTCCAAAATTTAATATGGATGGGTATATTCGGTAGGTCTAAATATGAATCGTGGATTATTTGCACACAAATCTCACAAAACACATTTAAAAAATAGAAGTATAGAAGGAAAGAGAAATCACCATCCCTGAATTATCATCAACAAGGTAGGATAATAATTACCCAAATTTGTCCTGTAAGTCAAAGATTAAACCATAAAAGAAGACTTTGCTAAATACATCACTTAAGTCTCAGTTTCTCCAAAGACCAGATGCAAAGAGCCATCTCATGACTCTGCTTTAATTAGTCTGTTGTCGTTAGGCAATTGGAAATAGTGTATACTCTGGGAAAACTTTTGTAAAACATATAGGCATTTGTATTGGATTTAAAATGTAGTCCTTCTGTGAGGGCCTGGGCAAGAAATATAGATGATCCCTTGTAAATTAAAACCATATGTTTCATGAGCTGAAAGAGGCCTCTCTGATTGGCTAAGATGTGGGGAGCAGAGTTTGGAACGATTTTGGTGCCAAAAGAAGTTTTTAAGAGAACAAGTAAAACTTGTGCCTCCGTAAGCAAGCCTTTCTGCTCTCATTTCTGGACAACTTGACATTTTTTTTGTTGGGGGGGAGCGGAATAATGTGCATCTTTTAAAACCATAGTGTAATCAAATTGTTTTTCGTTTGTTTGTTTATTTTTTTCTAGCCTTAACCTGAAATCTTCTGGCCAAAGGTAACATGGAAGCCAATCCATGGTTTCTAAAGTATTAGTAAAAATTCTTAAAATAACATCTTTGGGACTATGATTAAGAACAAATGAACATGCAACAAGGCATTTCATTTCAGATCTGACAACATTTCTTTGGCCCGGGGGTAAAGAACAGTACCGGGCTATTTGTACTTTATTAGACATCTAAGGCTAAAAAGATCCTAATACTTGAAAAAAAGTAAAAGAGAAAGAAAGCATTTTTTTCCCATGAAAGTTGTCATCATCATAGTAC